AGATGAATGTTTGCATGTGAATATTTAAAAAAAATAAATGTTACCAATTATTTTAATAACAGATGAATTATAATCATCCTATTTACAATGTGTTAACATTTTTAAAACTTCTGAAAGATTGATTTAAGACTTTTTAAGGCTAATTAAGGCCTTATTTTTGGATTGATGAATTCAATGATTTAAGACATTTGAAGGATGAGCAGGAACACTGTCAAAAAACAGCCTGAGTGGAGATCACTGCTCTTGGCGGCGGTGATGAAAGATGAGATAAATGGCGTCTTACCCTGACGATGACAGAGAATAAAGACCTGCAGCCGGGGGCCAGGTTGATATACGGGTCCAGCAGGTATTCATGCAGGTGGGGGTGTGGTAACAAACACAGCTTGGACAGGACAGCAGTCACCTGCAGGTTCACATCATAGGGCTGGAAGACAGAGGGAAGGAACCATGACTCAGCAAATTTACCACTTAGTCCTGAACTTTCTGTTTCTGTATTCTAAAACCAAACAGCAGCAGCACCMAAACAACCCAGAGTTGTGGTTGATGAAACTCACCTGGTCCAAGATGCGACCCATCCTGTCGAAGAGGACTTTCAGGAAGTGACCTTCGAAGAACGGCAGCTCTAAGTTGCACTTCTCTAAAGGTTTTGAACTTCCCCTCCAGTCCCACCGCTGACAGACGCCACAGTAGTCCCTGAACTGAAAACAACCAAACAAAGAATCAACACGGGTTCTGGGTTTGTTCTCAGAACCTGTGAGACGCCGTCCCACCTGTCTGTGTGCGTCTCTGAGGTAGGTGTCGTAGCCCGTGCCCTCCACCTGATACGAGGACTTGGCCTCGTCTGGGACCAAACACAGGAAGCTGCAGGCGGAACAAACCGTTAGAACCAGGCCTGACCTACGACACGTTTATCCCGTCAGGAAGACCTCACACCTGTTGACGATCTTATGGACCTCCGTCTTCCCGTCGGACTTCGAGTGGTCTGGACTTTGTGGCGGTGAGGAGCCGAGCCAATCAGAGCCGGACAACCTGCCGTTTGGAGAGAGGTCGTCAACGAATAACGGATCCTCCTCCAGGTCTCTGCCAAGAAAACAGATTATTTGTTTGTGCAATTTTGTTACTTTGACTTTAAGAACACAACACATAAAATAAGAGCTGAAGAAGCTGAGCACCYGCTAAAAGTAGCCAAAAGCTACTCAAACCACAAAGGGTCTAGCTAAAATCAATACAAGGCTAGTCAAATGTTAAAGCACAAGGCTAGCAAAAAGCTTCAAGTGGAAAAAAGCTTTTTAAATGTAGCAAAGGTTGGTTATTAATAGCAAAAGACTAGGTAAAAGCTAAATAAAGTAGCAAAAGGGTAGTCTAAAGCAGCTAAAAGCTAGCAAAAATGTAGGCAAGGCTAGCAAAAAGTAGCAAAAGATTAGTTAAAATGGCAAAAGGCTAGTTAAAAACAGCAAAAGACTAATTAAAAAACAGCAAAAGGCTAGTCAAAGTAGCAAAAGGCTAATTAAAAACAGCAAAAGGCTAATTAAAAACTGCAAAAGGCTAGTCAAAGTAGCAAAAGACTAGTTACAAAAAAGCAAAAGGCTAATTAAAAACAACAAAAGGCTAGTTAAAGTAGCAAAAGGCTAATTAAAAATAGCAAAAGGCCCGTTAAAAACAGCAAAAGACTAATTAAAAAACAGCAAAAGGCTAGTCAAAGTAACAAAAGGCTAATTAAAAACAGCAAAAGTCTAATTAAAAACAACAAAAGGCTAGTCAAAGTAGCAAAAGACTAGTCAAAAACAGCAAAAGGCTAATCAAAGTAGCAAAAGGCTAATAAAAACAGCAAAAGGCTAGTCAAAGTAGCAAAAGAGTAGTTAAAAAACAGCAAAAGGGTAGCTAAAAGCAGCAAGTAGCTAATTACAATTAGTAAACAGATAAGCAAAAACGCTAGGTAAAAGGGTGGTAAAAATTTTAAAAAGTAAATTTAAAATGCAAAGCTGAAATTAGTAAATAGTTGCCAATAGGTTAAAAGTAGTAAATAGTTAGCTAGTAGCTATAAGCAGAAAAAGGTCAGCTAACGTCTAAAAGTGACAAAGGGACAGATAAAAACCACCAAGGTTAGCTAAAACTAAATAAATACAAGCTAAAAATAGCTAAAGGCTACGTACATGCTCAAGTAGTAAAAGGACAGCTGAAAGCTAAAAGCAGCAGTGTGCAGAAGAAGAGCACAAAAAGCATTTAAAAGATTTCACAGAATTAGCGTTCTTAAACCTTAAGCTAATTCTTCTTCTTGGAATGTGGTACCAAAGTCACAAATGAAGTGATGAACACTTTACTAACAGGTGTAATAAACTAATTTGTACACAGAAGATAAAATCCAACAGATTCCCTTTAAACTGCATCAAACCTAAACAGAACCGTGTTCATTAYGTTTCAGTCTCACAGCTTGGATTTCTGCTGCAGATAAAATCCCAACAGCTAAACTCTGAGGAGCAGAAACAGCAGCTTGTGTCCAACAGATCTTTTATTTTATTTATTTATTTATTTATTTGTGTCGAGGGTCTGTAAGAAGTCCTGTTTCATTCCAGCGCTTCTGGAGCTTCCTTACACGGCGTCGTGAGGCTGCCCGTTCTCCAGCGACTCCCMCTCCTCCTGAGGTTTGTTCTCCAGGTAGTTCCTGTCCTCCAGGCTGCGCAGCACCAAGCTGTGAAGGATGTGCTGCTCGGGCTTCTGGATGAGCTGCTCGAACAGCCGCAGCGTCATGATGCTGATCTGAAACACCAAGAGAAGAAGAAGAATTCAAATTATGTTCAAAGTGACATTTAGAGGTTAAAAAGCTCACATTAACAGAAAAAATAGTACAAAAAGTACAAAAAATTTGTAATTTGATAGTCGACAAAAAGTAGCTTGAAAAAGCTGAAATTACAACAGATGTTTGCTGAATTAAGCAGCAAAAGCTGAAATAATCACAAAAATGTGATGCAAGCAGAAAAAGATAAAATAGACTGACATGAGCTAAAAAAAAAAATAGCTTAAAAAAGCAAAAAAATGTTTAAATTAGCACAAAAATGCAAAAAGCCCATTAAAGTTTAAATTAACAGATTAATAGTAGAAAAAAAGATAAAAATTAGCCAAACAAAAAGCCTACGGAAGCTGAAATTAGCATTTTTAAATGTTTTAAGTGTGTTGAAGACAGCTCCATTCATTTTTAATATGGAAATAAAAGTGTCCAAAAAAGCTGAATCACTGAAAAACTATAAGTTGCTGAATTACTAAAAGTCACAGAACCCCTGGCCTTAAAGAGCCGAAAGGTTTGATATATGAAATATATAAAAGAGCACAAAAGRAGTGAATGATGTGTTGAAAAACTATGGAAGAAAAATATATCATCTAAATAATGAGAGCTCTATAAATATTCACACAATTAACTAATTAGATGATAATCAGACTCTATAAGAGGCCTGGTGTATATAGAGGTACCTGATTAGGATAAAAACAATCAGGAATGAAAAATAACCTAAATACCCCTGATGATCTGCTTGATTATGTGATTAGATTGTGTAATGATTGCAGTTTGCTTTAAGGAGACGACTGTTTTGTTTTTTTATTTAATTGCACTTAACAACATGCTTTTGTCTTTTCTGGGACTCTTAAAAGCTTGTTGCAAACATTTATTTCAAAGCGTCATCTAGAGGGAAAAAAACAACTTGTCGCTCAAAGTGTGCGAGTAGCCACGCCCACTGAAGGTCCAATGATTGTACGAACCTCGTCTGACAGGTGGTCGCAGTGCTCGATGAGTCTGTGTCTGAGTGGGTTCTGACACATCGTAGCTGAAGTCTCTGCTTCCTTCTCCTCACCGAGCAGGAAGCAAACAATCTCCTGCAGCAGCGCCTCCGACGTCACCTGCTTTATGACCCTGTTCAACAGGGCCGTGGAGGTCAGGATTCCCACCTCGGACCTACACACACACACACACACACACACACACACACACACNCACACACACACACACACACACACACACACACACACACACAGATTAACGGAGCAGTCACGACTCACACGCTGACAAATAAAAACATGTCAAACCAGGATGATTGATGGGTGACTCAGAGAATGACTCACGTCTGCATGAGCTGTGGTTCCATCACGGAAATAAAGAACTTTTCTCTCACAGCTCTCGCCATCACAGCCGCCGCCGACTGGAAGATGGAGAAAAACAAAACATGCAGGCGTTTTTTTGTTTTTTCCACACAATAGACTCCTCACTTCGGACCACAATGAGACGTGAAAAGACTAAGTCAAACCTTCTGCGCCTCTTTGATGAGCTGATCGCAGAAATCCAACCACGACAGGAAGGAGATGAGCGCTCGCTTCCCTGTGAAGATGGCAGCGTCCTCCTTCAGGTTGTACACATCCAGGCTGAGAAGAAACCAGGTATTCAAGTACAGCTCTTCACAAATACCAACTAAGACTTTAATTAAGACAAAATGTGACCCACAGCATCGAAACGAGGATTTAGTCCAAAAGTGGGATGAGGAGAAACAGACAGCGTTTTGATTTAAACGTGAACAGAAATTGCATTTTGTCAAAATATAATGAATTAATACCTTATCAATGAATAATTTGAAGGAACTGTCTGAAATTTAATCCTAAAAAGAAAATTTGAAGCATATTTTTTGCAGTAGCAACAAAAAAACTGATTGAAGAAAAACACCTTAAAATTTTGAATTTTTCCCTCCGAGCTAACAACGTTTGAGTTTCTTTCCAACTGGGAAATCTTTTTTTTTCCACTTCAGTAGAAAAAAGAACTTATTAGTTTCTTAATTTTTTCATCAGTGATTTTTTTGTTAGTTATATAAAGAGGAAAGAGGAAATGTAATTAGAAAGACTGAAAGAGAGATTAGAAAATATATTAAATATATGCCAAGAAAACACAAGGCCACACACCGACATCTGTCTGCTCACATGAAAATAAATGGATATAAGAAAACATAGCAACAAAATACATACCTATATAACACAAGGCCACACACAGACATCTGTCTGCTCACATGAAAATAAATGGATATAAGAAAACATAGCAACAAAATACATACCTATATAATAATATTATAATTTTTCTATAAAGCATACACATATACACCGAGAAAACACAAGGCCACACACCTGACATCTGTCCGCTCACCTGAAAATAAATGGATAGAAGAAAACATAGCAACAAAATACATATCTATATAATAATAGAATTAATTACAATTTATCTGTAAAGCATGTACAAACCCCAAAACCAGAAAAGTTGGCACGTTGTGTAAATAGTAAATAACAACAAAATACAATGACTTGCAAATCTTTTTCAACCCATATTCAGCTGAATAGAATGCAAAGACAATATATTAAATGTTCGAACGGAGAAACTTTATTTTGTTTTGCAAANACACACACACACACACACACACACACACACACACACCAGTCAGAACTGGGAAATCTTAAAACACAAATACTATTTGAGGTTTCCTCTTTATACTGACATAAAAAATGACTCAATAAATTTACATAAAATCAGGATTCAGACCAAACAGTAATGTATTATCATAACCAACAAGTCAAATTAAGTCATATCTCTGGATAAACTGATGACATCAGAATGATTCAGGTATCAAAATGTAGCTTTTAAAGCCAGAATTTTGAAAACGTAATCAGGTCATTTTGACCAAATTTGACTTGATCCTCATTATGACATGATGGGTCACAAATGTATTTACAGAGAAGACATGTACCCCCAGTTGACAGACTCCACTGTCTCGATGTCCAAGGGGTCCATGGACTGTGGAAGGGCCTTATAAAAGGAGACCAGCCTGTCTGTGAGAAGCGCACACAGCTCMGTGTTTTCAGTTAAACACCTGGCAGCAGCCGGCTCCGGCAAACTGACCAGCAGCATCAAGCCCTCACAAGCCTTCACCACAATCCTGCCATCCTGAAGATCAAAATAAGACATTTATACACGTTAAAACCAACTCCAGATGCTTCAGCTGAGCAGTGACTGCTACAATAATCCACACGGCGGTGACTCACAGGACTCTTTGTGAGGTTGAGTAAGGATGTGACTAAATTGTAATTGTTGGTGTTGTTATTGTTGCAGGACGGACTACAGGAAGCCCCAGCTGCTGCTGCTTGCTCCTCTTGGCTGTCGGCCTGTTTCTGTCCAGTGTCTGGAGCCAAAACGCCTCCCTTCACCTCCTCTGGTGCTATACAAGTCCTGGTCTCCGGTCTCCTCGACTTGTTCTGAAAACATTGAAAATTAAACAGATTCTGAAATTTGTGCTATTTTATCCATGTTTACACCAAAAGATGGGTGCTAACTTATGTTTTATTTTATCTAGTTTTGTTTTCTTTTACCGCTTTTAACTTTCAGGTTATCGTGTGCTCATTTTAGCTTTTAGCTAGCATTTTGCTCCCACCTGCTTTTAGCTAGCATTCTGCTTTTTTAGCTAGAGTTCTACCTCTGGTGGGTTTCAACTGCTGTTGTTGCTTTTAGCTTTTAGCTAGTGTTCGGTTTCTTCTAGCAAGCGTTTGGTCTTTCTAGGTTTTAGCTAGTATTCTGTTTTTTTAGCTAGAGTTCTACTTCTCATGGGTTTTAGCCAGTGTTACTTTTAGCTAGTATTCTGCTTCTTTTAGCAAACATTTAGTCTTGCTAGCTTTTAGTCAGAATTCTGTTCCTTTTAGCTAGAGTTCTACCTCTTGTGGGTTTCAGCTAGWGTTACTTTTAGCTACTGTTGTTTCTTCTAGCAAGCATTTAGTCTTTCTAGCTTTTAGCTACAATTCTGTTCATTTTAGCATTTAGCTCTCACCAGCTTTTAGCAAACATTCTGCTTTTTTAGCTAAAGTTCAGTTTCTCTTGAGTTTCAGCTAGTGTTGTTGCTTTTAGCTTTAAGCTAGTGTTCTGTTTCTTCTAGCACGCATTTAGTCTTTCTAGCTTTTAGCTAGAATTCGGCTCTATTTATCCTAGCATTTAGCTCTCACCTGCTTTGAACCAACATTCTGCTCTGTTTTTCYTGGGTTTCAGCCAGTGCTGTTATTTTTAGCTAGTCTTCTGCTTCTTCTAGCAAACATTTGGTCCTTTTAACTTTGAGCTAGCATTTTGCGCTCATCAGTTTTTAGCTAGCATTCTGCCTTTTTTTTAGCTACAGTTCTACTTCTCTTTGGTTTCAGCTAGTGTTGTTGCTTTAATCGCTTACCATTCTGCTTCGGTTTCAGCTATTTAGCTTTACAGTTTTAGCTTCTGTGGCACATTTTACAGGCATCGTTCAGCACTCGGGCTTCACGCTGCGTCTCCATTTTAAATGTAATTCTTTAACTCGGTGCACGACTCGGTGACGACCCACCTCGAGGAAGAAGTTGACGAGGTACGGGTCCTGTTTTAGTTTGGCACAGACGATGCAAAGGAACTGGATCTCCTCGTTTTCTGTGGGCGCAGCCAGCACCTCCCCACACAGGCGGATCAGTTTCTGAGACCAGTCGTGGGAGGAGAAATTACACATCCTGTCAGCTAAAAGCCCATTTTTAATGTTCCGCGTTATGATAAACAGAAAACATGTATTTGTTGAACGTACTGCGACTCACCTGTACAGGTCTGTGGACGTTGATGTGCGGCAGCAGGGGCTGGCGAATGTGCGCTAGCAGCTTTGTGTAAAAGGTYAGCACCTGCTGCTTCATCCCTGGAGGACACTGACGACAAAATATATAAAGCACAATATTTATAAATCATCACAAACACCCWTATCTCTCTATTACAATCTACAAAAGCTGGATTTCCTCACATCTGCTTTGCCCAAAGTGTAAAGCGTCTCCAGGATCTTATGGTGTAGGAGGTACTCCATGCAGGGTCCCGTCTCCCCAGACTCCCTTTCAGCTTCCTCCTGGGTCAGAATGTCCAGCATCTGCTCCAGGTGGGACGGGATGTTTGTGTCTGTGACGGGGGCTTTGTCATCTAACCAGAGAAGACACACAAACTTTATATTAGGGAAAATACAGCGGGTAAAATAAGTATTGAACACGTCACCATTTTTCTCAGTAAATATATTACTAGAGGTGCTAATGACATGAAATTTTCACCAGATGTTGGTAACAACCCAAGTGATCCATACATACAAAGAAATCAAACCATAAATGTCCAGAAATGAAGTTATTTGTAATAATGTGGAATGGCACAGGGAAAAAGTATTGAACACATGAAGAAAGGGAGGTGTAAAAAGGCATGGAAAGCCAAGACACCAGCTGAACTCTCTCAGTAATTAGAAAGCAAGCCTGCCCCTTGTCAGTGCAAGTTAATATCAGCTGGTTCAGTCCCAAATGATGGCCAGGTATCACACAAGAACCATCTGATGATGGGTAAAAGTAAAGAGCTCTCTCAAGACCTTCACAACCTTATTGTTGCAAAGCATAATGATGGCATCGGTTACAGAAGAATGTCTAAACTTCTGAAGGTTCCAGTGAGCACTGTTGGGGCCATAATTCAGAAGTGGAAAGAACATTATTTCACCATAAACCGACCACGACCAGGTGCTCCTCACAAGATTTCTGACAGAGGAGTGAAAAGAATTATCAGAAGAGTTGTCCAAGAGCCAAGGACCACTTGTGGAGAGCTTCAGAAAGACCTGGAATTAGCAGGTACGWTTGTTTCAAAGAAAACAATAAGTAATGCACTGAACCACCATGGCCTGTATGCACGCTCACCACGCAAGACTCCACTGCTGAAGAAACAGCATGTTGAAGCTCCTTTAAAGTTTGCTGCACAACATTTAAACAAGCCTGTGTAATACTGGGAGAATATAGTCTGGTCAGATGAGACCAACATTGAACTGTTTGGATGRCAGAATACACATCATGTTTGGAGGTCAAATGGCACTGCACATCAGCCCAAAAACACCATACCAACAGTCAAGTTTGGAGGTGGGAACATCATGGTGTGGGGCTGTTTTTCAGCATATGGTACTGGCAAACTTCAAATAATTGAAGGAAGGATGAGTGGAAAAATGTACAGAGACATTCTTGATAAAAATCTGCTTCCATCTACCAGGATGATGAAGATGAAACGTGGCTGGACATTTCAGCAAGACAATGAGCCCAAACACAAAGCCAAGGAAACTCTCAGTTGGTTTCAGAGAAAGAAACTAAAGCTGCTGGAATGGCCCAGCCAATCACCTGACCTGAATCCAACAGAAAATCTATGGAAAGAACTAAAGATCAGAGTTCATAGAAGAGGTCCACGAAACCTTCAAGATTTGAAGACTGTTTGTGGAAGAATGGGCCAAAATCACACCTGAGCAATGCATGCCACTAGTTTCTCCATACAGGAGGCYTCTTGAAGCTGTCATTGACAACAAAGGCTTTTGTACAAAGTATTAGATAAATTTCAGTAAGTGTGTTCAATACTTTTTCCCTGTGCCATTCCACATTATTACAAATAACTTCATTTCTGGACATTTATGGTTTGATTTCTTTGTATGTATGGATCACTTGGGTTGTTACCYACATCTGGTGAAAATTTCATGTCYTTAGCACCTCTAGTAATATATTTACTGAGAAAAATGGTGACGTGTTCAATACTTATTTTACCCGCTGTAAGAAAAACTAAAAAACAAAGTTCAGGTTCAAGAACAAAAATACACAATTTTTGTCATGCAACCACTTCAGTGAAAAAAAAAACATCTGACACTTGTGATCGAGTGTAAATCCACCTTAAGATTAAGAAAGAATTTAACAAAAATAGTTCATCTTTCTTTACATGTCAAGGCCAATAACAGGTCCTACCACATTTTTGACATTTCTTACCCGAGGTCTCGATGTAATAATGTGTAATGGCCTTCCAATGATAGACAAAGTCTTCCTGCAAGGGTAGAGATGGAGCAAGCTGAAAAAGAACAAACACATTCTTATTATAAAGGCGTCTGCACAATTTGAAGCAATTCAGTCACTGAATCYGGTGTCTTGGAGCAGYGAAACAAYCAAATACATGCAGGTTAGCGGCCCTCGAACACCAGGATTGGACACTCTTGTTTTCCCAGCTTTAAACTCCATATTTAAATAACTGGGTCAGTCTCCTTCAGGAAACCTTTCTGAGCTCATTAAATCGTTCAAATCGTGTGTGTATCAAACACAAAATGAACCAGCATGATGTTTGCGCAACATCAAACAAGCTTGACCATTTCGACACAACTCCTCATCATAAGACACAGCTGTTAGACAAAGTTAGCTTAGCGAGGCTAGCTGTCTGGTACAAATATCGCCAAATATTTATAATGTTTTATATCAAGTGCCTGAATTAAAGAATACAAAACATTCGAAATTATCTAAATTATTGTATCTCATAATGGGAGAGATAAAATGATGCACAGAACGTGCTAACAATAGTTTATGCTAACTAGCATGCTATTTAGCCAGTTACCGTACTAAAAGTTAGCATGCTAGTTAGCAACCGGCTAATGCTGACGTTACGGTTGAGACGTCTGGAGCAACAAAAGAACACTCGAAAACAAATTTAAGATGACAATAAAGCAAATCAACGCTTAAAAACATCAAAATTTAACACAAACTCACCGCCTCCACAGCGTGCTGGAGGATGGACGTGAATTTGGAGAACATTTTGTTCTTCGACTGGACCAGTTTCTCCCGAGAAGACCGAGAGAATTCCTCTATCTTCTTCTTTCTGTTGCCGCCGCCTCGCTCCAGATTGGAGGTTTCATACAATGACCCTTGTAACGAAAAGGATATAAACGTGAGCTATAAAGTCGTAGCCTGAGGACTTTCACAGGCCCGGGTACGAGCACTGTAAACAAACCGTCTCCGGGGGGGGCTGAGCTGGGTGCTGCTGGCCGGACACGGTGGCACTTCCCTCGCCAAACACATGCAGGTAATGACCACCAGGGGGCGCAGCGACACAACSTTCAGTGAATACTAATGACCTCAATTACAGCTGCAGCTTTTCATCCTTTTGCTATTTTTCACATTTATCTAGCCATTGTGCTCCTTTTAGCATTAAGCTACCGCCAGTCCTACTTTTAGCTTTTAGCCAGCCTATTGCTACTTTAAGGTTTTGGCTAGCTATTTGCTACTGATAGCTTTTAGCCAGCCTTTAGATATTTTTTACTTTAGCTACTATTCTTCTACATGTCGTTTGGAGCTAGACTTTTGCTGCTTTTTACTTAAGACTTTTGATAATTTCAGCTTTTTGACAGCTATCTTGTTGYCACTATTTGATTTTATATAGCCCTTTTGATGCTTTTAGTCAAACTTTTACTACTTTTAGCATTTAGCTAGTCTTTTCCTGCATTTTCTTTCTTTTAAGCATGTTGCTAGTTCGGCCAACTTTTCATAGCCATTTTAGTTTAAATTTTGCTTATTTAGCTAGCTTTTAGCTATTCTTATTAACCATTCTGCTAGTTTGTTTAGTTTTCAGATGTATTAGCTTTCACTAGAATTTGCTACTTTTAGTTACCGGTATTAAAAAAACACTTTTAATTAACATTTTCATGCTTTCAGCTAACATCTTCTTAATAGCCTTTAGCTACTTGTAGCTGACCTTTTGATATAATTGGATTTTAGCTCATATTTTGCTTCTTTTCGCTGGCTTGTCACTCGTTGTATTAACCATTTGGCTACTTTTAGCTTTTACTTAGACTTTTGTTGCTACTTTTATCCAACATTTGTTACTTTTCTTTATTAAGACCTTTTGATGCTTTTAGGTATTGGTGGGCATCTGCAAATCAGCTAAAAGCTAATAGTGAAACTAAATTTTCATTTAGCAGATTAGCTTTTTCGCTAACCAATAAGCRTTCGCTAAATTAGGTTTTGATAACTTTAAGTTTGCTAAAAGCTAACTAACATCAACAGGTTAGTCCCAGTCCAGTGTAGCGCTTCATGTTAGCTGTTAGCTTCAGCTAATCTTTGCCTGTTGTTTAGTGTTGGCTTTAAAATTTTTAGCACTAATGTTTTGCAGTTTAGTTAGCATCCACTATTTATTTTTATTTTCTACATGTTCAGCTGGTTAGCATTAGCAAAGCTATATTTTTAGTTAGCGGATTACGAGTTAGCAAAGCTAACTATTTGGTTGGCTGTGCCCACCACTGTTTTTAGCTAATGTCTTGCTTTTGACTAGTCTTTCACTGCTTTTAGCTAGTGTTTTGACTCTTTTAGATTCGAGCTATTTGGCAGTTTTTAGCTAGCTGTATCCCAAACTGCTGTGTAATATACACCTCGTGTGTTTTAAAGAGAAACTGGCAGAAAGAGGAAGAATGAGAGACATTTTCACTCATGAAGCCAAAATCRTTAGTGTGGAAAATGAAAGCTGGACTCGCTCTCAGAGCAGACAGTCTGAGGCGACACCGGCTGCAGGAAACCGATTTAAAAAAGAAAAGAAACTATAAATAGGAATGTGACAGTCGGTTCAAAAATACAATGAAACTTGTTGGGAAATTAAAAAGAGAAGCTGTTTTSCAGGACACGCCCTGTCGCGCATTTTCCCCTCAATAGTCTGCTCCAAAATCTGTTGTTCCCCTGCGTTTCATCCGTTAAATATCAGCGGGGAAACTCAACGCATTCCTGATCATATTAATAACAAATCTCCTCCTGTTACAGGACATTAAAAGAGGCTCTACCTACCGGGCATGTCTGCAGCTGGAGGTGAGTATCTGCTGCCGCAAAGCCTTCATGACACGGAGGGAAAAGTGCTTTTATTTCCGAGGAGTGGTGGAAGAGCTGCAGGGCAGAAAACGAGTCCTTTTCATTGTCTTTCAGGAAAAAAATAAAAACCCGGTCTGTGATATAAATGACCGGTTTTATAAGATAACACAGGAGCACCTTCCCTCTGTGCTGCATCAACTCTTTTTTGTTAAAATGCACAACAACCTGGGTAAATATTTTACTTTTTTTACTTAAATCTGTGCATCTCATTAGTTAAAAGCTGCACTCTGTTATTAAACTCTGATAATCTCTTTATCTGATAGGTGATAGAGTGATGTCAGGTGATTAAAATCTCTCTTTTTTTGTAAAATCCTGCACAAAAGCTTCCTTTGAATATTGTTTTGGACTTTTWTTTTTTGCTAAAAAGAAGAATATATGTGTGGCACAGTCTGTTCATTTGGCTCTAATGCAACATGTGATGGTTTAAAGGGATAGTTCAGATCATTTAAACTGGAGTTGAATCTATTTTAAAGAGAAAAGGCTAGTGAAAAGTCATGAACTGCTAACTAAGAAGTAAAATAAATAAACTGTACAAATAAACTTAATTGAATTGAATTAAAATAGCAAAAGACTAGCTAAAGGATAAAGTAATAGAAGACTAGCTAGAAAGTAAATATACCAAAAGTTAAAAGTAGCAAAATCCTATAAATGTAGCAAAATAATAAAAAGGAATATTGGGTAAAAAAAAAAAAAGACGAGGCACTAGCTTAAATATTAAGGTAACAAAATGCTAGCTAAAAAAAGCAAAATGTTAATTACAAGTAGGGCTGRAACGATTAGTCGATTAATCGACGACTAATCGATTATTAAAATAATCGATGACTAATTTAATAATTGATTTTTTATTTTTTTGTTCTTTGTTTTTCTGTCCAAACTGCTTTGACACCTTCCACTGCCACGTCTGCCTTTCTGTCCTTGACACACATGCACAGTAGTGGTAACTGGGGTAGGCCGTGGARGTCACAAGACATTATACAGACAGGCTCTGGTATCATGGCTACCTGACAACAGAGCTCAAAGTGTGGGATCATTTTAAGAAAATGAAAGAGAAACCTGTGTAATATCTGCAGAGCAGAACTTACCTTCCACAGCAATTATTTTTAGTTAGCATATAGCTAAAATCTAACCATGGTTATATAATAGCAGCTGCATTCTGACACGATAAGCTGTATGTTTTATATTCAATTAACGTATGATCCGATTAGTCGACTAATCGAAAAAATAATCAGTGATTAATATATTATAACAATAATTGTTTGTGGCAGCCCTAATTACAAGCTAAAATATCAAATAGTTTGCTAGAATCAAATGTAGCAAAACGCTAAACATCAAAACAGTAGTTAAGACAAAATAACGAACTAAAAGAAGCAAACAGATCAAATAAAAAAGGCTCTTTAAAAATATCTAAGGCTTTCTAAAATCTAAAGAAGTAAAAGGCTAGTTAGAAAGTAAATCTGACAAAACCCCAGCTAAAAACAGCTAAAAGGCTAGGAGGTAAAAGTGGCAAAAAAATTGCTAGAAAAGCAAAAGCCAAGCTAAATGGAGTAAAACATTAGTTAAAAAAAGAATATTACACAAACAAAACACGACACTAGTTAAAAGCTAAAAGTTGAAAAACACTGGCTAAAATAAGCAAAAAGTAAGCTAAAAAACTAAAGTAGCAAAAGATTAGCTAGAATCTACAGCCAGAAAAGGCTAGCTAAACATAGCAAAAGAGTAATTAACACAGAAGAACTTTAGCTAAAAGAAGCAAATAATTAGCTAAAAGTAAAAATAATGTCTCTTTAAAAGCAGAAAAGCTTGCTAAAATTTAAAGTAGCATAAGGCTAGTTAGTAAATGTAAAAGCAGCAAAATGCTAGCAATGAGGTTAAAGTGGCAAAAGACAGTCTAAATGTAGCAAAACATAAAACAGATTATTTACAAGAAACAAGACATTAGCTAAAAGACAAAAGTAGCAAAACACTAGCTAAAAGAAGCAGAAGTATCATGTTTTTTGCTAAAATCTAAAATGGAAAAAGGCTAGCTAAAATGTATCAAAAGTCTATTAAAAAATCTTCCTAGAAGACAAAAGTAATAAAAAGAACTGAATAAAAGCTAAAAGTAGTAATATGCTAGCTAAAAGTACAACAACCTAAGTAGACTAAAATAATCGGGTGACCAGACTTCTCAAATTTTCAGGGACTTTCCCTGTTTTGGATGACCTGTCCCCAGAAAATGCCCTGGATTTTGGTGTTTCATAAATTAGATAAAGTGCTTCATGTAGACTGTTTTTACAGGAGCTGGATAGACGGTGCAAGTGAGCATGTTGCGCACAATGACAGATATAACGGTAACTGGTCGAGCTGCTGTAAACGTTACAGAAGAAGAAGAGCAGAGCGGGAACTTGCCCTGTCWCCAGTTGGGAGCTGTCCTGTGATGCGGTATGATAAAGATTTTAAAAGAATAATTGTTCTATAAAAGATAAAAGACGAATATATACAGTATATGTAAASACAATGTTAAAATATTCAAAACAACAAAATACCAGCACAGGGCATATGTTCTGATATGAAAGCCCAGACAGTGCAGCATGCCCACAAGAATTAGAGGGCAAGGTGACTAATGGAAAGGCATCACTCACTCCCAAGGTAAAAGCCAATGGCCTTGTGCTGATAACAGTAAAGTGGATGGGGGGTGGTCACTCTACGACTGGAGGCGCAGTGAGGAAGCTMATGCTCACTGGACAAATATAGGACATTGGATGGTAGTAAAAAGTCGGAGTCAAATTAAGAGAACTGGTATTATAAGTTGYTGTATTGATATTGCAAAATGCCGTTATGCTACAGTCTGACATAGATTTGAGTATCATCAGCGTATGATTGGAATTTGAGTTCAGCTCAGGAGATGATGTTTCCAAAGGGGGAGCATGTAAATGATGAAGAGGAGAGGTCCGAGAACAGAGCCTTGATTTATTCAAGACCACTACCCTTCAATCATTTCTACCCCACGCATGGTATGTCTTACTTWCTTTTCAGTTAATAAAGGTTGTTTGTTTGCAAGGGATTAACTGTGATTATTAGATCAATTGCGGTCACCACCAGGCCATCGACCAGTGAGGCTCCATCAATCTTCATCAGCAGCAGGACTGATGGAGAAGATTATTAAGAAGGGAAGTTCAAAACCATCTTACTCTCTACTAACAAYAACTGTCTGTTATTGCTAGTGGTGGGCATAGTTCTGATAACCCGCTAATTTGCTAATAGCATAATTAGCTACTCATTTAGCAGAATAGCTTTTTTTTTTTGCTAACTTAGCAGACCAATTAGCTTCTACTAAGTTGTGTTCCGCAAATTTTAAGTTCACTAAAAAACATTACAAGTGTGAAACCTCTATTTTTATGCCATTTGTCACAAATTAACTAAAAAATATCTGCGCTTACAAGCAGTGCTGGATGTTTCAGCCACAGTGTGTGTAGCATGTAGCATCTTTAGCAGCTAAACCTTGAACTAAGAGCATCTAAAAGAAAAATAACATTTAACTATATTTAAATAATCTATGTGAAAAATTACTATGTATGAAATATGGTAGAGAGTATTTGCCATTTGTTGTTTGACTAATTTCAAACTGTATTTATAAAAAATACAAACCCATTCAAAGAAATGCTTTTATTCTGAAGGAGTTAAAGTGGAAGTATCACAAGTTAGACAGAGCTACAACTCTTGTTTGGATTGGTCAGTTTGTCACAAATGACCCCACCCACCTTCGAATTAAACCAATAGAATCAAACTAACAAAATCTTTGCTTTAGTCCAACCAGCTGCTAACCATGTTAGCAGTTAGCGTTAACTACCTTTAATTTTTATTTCTGTTTAGCGGTGTAGCTTTAGCAGAGCGAAGATTCTTATTCAGGGGATTAGTGAAGTTAACTTTTCAGTTAGCTGTGTCTTCCTCTGGTTATCGCAATTAAAAAGTCTGCCTCTCTGATGGTATGGGGATGCATTAGTGCCTCTGACATGGACAGCTTGCAAATCTGGATGCAAATCAATGCAGAAAAGTATATAAAGCTATTAGAACAGCTGCTCCCGTACAGCTAAGACAGGGGTKTGCAACCTGCGGCTCTGGGGCKACATGAGGCTCTTTGGGCCCTCTGCAGTGGCTCTTTGAAAATGTGACCAAACATAAKAGAATAAATMTTTCTGTTTGTTTTTTYTACCCACAACAGAAATCAATTTMTATGCWAATATYTGCTCAATACTACTAATACAAAAAGTAAAACCTGTAGATTAGCTCATGCTAGCCTGTTGTTTACTTAAATTATCCAACTTATTGCTATGATCTTTCTCTCAAATCCATCAGAATAACCTTTTAAAATTTTTGAAGACTACATAAGAATAAGAATAATAGTTTAGTTGTACTAGTTTTTTATGAAATTCAATATAAACTATATAAAGTATTTTTTGTTTACATGAAAATAGTCTTTCCATTTGTCCTAATATGTAAAAATAATAATAAATATTAAAATTCACAGTATATTTTTTACTTTTATAATGTCACCTCCACTGTCCGTAAAGGTTCCAGAAAAGGCCTCAAAAAGGCCCGCGGACCACCAGTTGATAATCACAGACGTAGCTTGTTTTGCAGCTCTGGACACATTTTATCAGTGAGCCGAGGAGCAGAAATGGCTCTTTTGATCGTAAAGGTTGCAGACCCCTGCCCTAAACTGTCATTTATGTCATTTAGATTATTTACTTGTTTTCATGNTTTTTATGAAGTTCAATATAAACTATATAAAGTATTTTTTTGTTTACATGAAAATAGTCTTTTCATTTGTCCTAATGTGTAATAATAATAATAAATATTAAAATTCACAGTATATTTTTTAGTTTTATAATGTCACCAACACTGGCCATAAAGGTTCCTGAAAAGGCCTCAAAAAGGTCCGCGGACCACCAGTTGATGATCACAGTCGTAGCTTGTTTTGCGGTTCTGGACACATTTTATCAATGAGCCGAGGAGCAGAAATGGCTCTTTTGATCGTAAYGGTTGCAGACCCCTGAGCTAAGAAGAACAGTAGAATGGGACAACTTTTTAGGATTGGGGTTGAATTTTATTTAAAGGCCCAAAATGGGTCGATTTTACAYCAACAAAGAAAGTATACCCTTCATTCTATGGATCTGTGTGGATGCACACTTGACCCTGAATCCAGTCTGCACATCCTGCCTGTACCTGTTACACTGCAGTGTAATGTGAAGGATCAATGTTGGATAAAAACGGGAGGCACGGCTCGGTTCTGCAGTAACCCAATCTGATGCCTCCCCCCCTTCCTCTGCTTCCTACCACCGGAGAGGGCTTGCTCATGCTGCAAGACAGCACGACCCTCTGCCTCAGCACTTTTCRGCCTCACTCTGTGTGTTTGTGTTTTAACGTGAGCGTGCACGTMCGTATGCGCGTGTCCCGGCTCAAGCCTGAATTATTGAAGAGGGAGTGAAAAAAGCACCGCTGCACGGGCCGGTGCGTCTGGGATTGMGTAGAGATGGAGGAGAGGAGCACGCCGAAGCAGGAGCCTGGATATGAGGGGCTCTGCAACTACGCCCAGAAAATCACCTCCTGCTTCGGACTGGATGGTAAGACGGAGTGGGTGGTGGAAGATGGAGGTGGGATGTTTTGGTACGCCGTAGAAAGAGCCGTTGTTTTCTGTGAGATGCWGATGTTTTTAAAGTGCAGGGACGGCATTTTTCTATCCACCCGGAGTGCGTTTGATTTGTGGGTGTGTTTTGTTGTAACAAAGCTACAACTGGGAGGATGACAACTGGAGGGTATAACGAGTACTGACCCCCCTCTACTCTCACAAACGTGTGAAAAATAGTTTTTAGCTCACAATCYCACCAAATCCAGAATGGAGCTCTGGATTTTGAATGAAGGCTTGGCGGTGTGATTTAAGACTAARTGATGGGAAATCAATCAAGATGAGTCTTACACTAATTAGCTCAGCCTTTATATGCTGCTATACTGATTTTGCCCTCATCAGTCTGTTAACAAAATATCTCACTGGATGGATTTTAACAAAACTCTCAAAGTAATCAGATATATACCTGTTTTGGTCAAAACCAACAGGTATAATTTAGTCAGTTTTACAGATTTGGAGCTAAAATCTGCTGTGGTAGTAGCTGAGAGTCAGCCATAATACAAGCTGTAAGTGTGACATCACTATTTCTGTTGATGGAAATCAAAGATAAGCTCTTATCTGTTTGACMAAGTGTATTTAAAAGAAAAAAACAGCTCACTGTTTATCATCTCTCCTCCTCACACAAGTGTTACCTGTTGTGTTTTTTACTCAGATTTTTCATTTGCATCACCTTATTTTTGCACGTCTTTTACTTTGTCAAGTGACTTTGAGAAATTGTACGCAGAGCTCCAAGTGTTTGGCTCGTGAGAGAGGGTTTGGAAAACTGAGAAAAGAAAACTGCAACTTTTTTTTTCTGAAGATTAAAAACTAAGAACATATTTTCTTATTGAGTTACAACAGCTGAAATATATATTTTTTGCTTCATATCGTGTCCCCTGGCATGTGGGTCTTAAACTGAAGCTGAAAAGTTCAACTGAGGAGTTTACAGTTTTCACTTCAGCCAGTGGTGGGCATGGTTCTGTTAAACAGCTAACAGCTAATAGCAGAACTATTTTTTTTGTTATATCTATTTAGTTTTCTCACTAACTTTGAAATCTGTTAGCATACGAATTAGCTTCCACTTAACTAGGTTTTATTAACTTTTTAAGTCAGCTAACAGCTAACTAGCATCAACAGGTTTGTGTCAGTCCCACCAGTCTTTAACTTAAAGAAGATGAAAACGTGCGACAGTCGTTAGCGGTTAGCAATTAGCTGTTAGCTTCCGCTAATTTTTACTTGATTAGCTGTTTAGCGTAAGATATAGCAAATTTAAAGAAACCAGAATAATATGAGTTATAACAACATTTGTTTTTCCTTTGTGATCAATAAAGTATATTTGAATTAGCATTAGCAAAGCTATATTTTTAGTTAGTGCATTATGAGTTAGACAAGCTACGTTTTTGGTTAACTGTGCCCACCCCTGGTCAAAAAAATGTTTTGTTTGTTTGTTTATTTATTTATTTATTTGGGTGGAGGGAGGGTGATGAGAAAATTTAGAATTACGTAGCAGCAATACATCTCAAAATGTTTGTTCCACAGCCGTGTTTGTGAAGCATCAAAAGTTTGTAAACATCCAGGAACTGAAGATACCAGTTCTGGAGCTCTTGTAAGGAGCGTCTTGTTCCTTACAAACTTGCCGTAGCTTARGCTAAACAGCTAAACAAGTAAAAATTAGCGGTAGCTAACACTTACAGCTAATTGTTAACCGCTAATATGACAGCAACACATCTTTGTTTCCTTTTAAGCRGAAGACTGACACAAACCTGTTGATGTTAGCTTGTTAGTTAGCTGTTAGCTGACTTAAAACTTAGCAAAAACTAATTTAGCAGAAGCTAATTGGTATGCTAATAGATTTAAATTATTATCTGCCTGAGCCAGAGGCAATAACACACCCCCATACCATCAGAGAGGTGAGGCAGGCGTTTAATCATAACATATCAGATTAAAGTCTAGGAGACGGCAGCGTTCCTGGATGGGGTTCACATATGGATTCTCCTTTGCACGATAGAGCTTTAGGCAGCATTTGTGGATGCCARGGTGAACTGTGTTTACAGACAACGGGTTGTGGAAGTGGTCCTGAGCCCATGCAGTTGCTCTTTACAGATTTTGTTTTGACAGGTCTTAAGAAAATGTGTCTTTGGGTTGTGAAGGTTGCAGACCCCTGATCTAAACGGTGCTAAGACTCAAACCGGACAATGGACCTGACGTAGACCAARCTAACCCCACCCAGAAGATAATCGGGCTGAATGTCAGCTCTAAGCTGCTTAAGGCTCCAGCCTGGCTGGGCTGAAGATGCTGGCAGCGTAAGCTTCTTTCTCCCACTCGACTCTACCTGCAGCAGAATGCCGTCTCGTATCTGCAGTGAGGCGTCGTCTCCTCGAGGTGGACCTCAGGGATCCTGTTCTGGCTCCTAACCGAAGGGGATCAGACTGGAGGCCTCACCTGATATCACCAACTCAGATGGGACAGTTAGAGTTCAGGTCGACCGTCCTCTGACCTGCAGTTTCCGTGGGACACCTGAAGACGAGCGGTGGACACCTGAAGACGAGCGGTGGACACCTGAAGACAAGCGGTGGACACCTGAAGACGAGCAGTGGACACCATGCCCACTCTTCCCAACCTCAACAGCCTGGGGAAGCTGTGCAGCTCCAGCCGGAGCCACAGCGTCAACCGCATCAGCCGCGTCCGGGTCAAACGCAAGAGCTCCGTCAAGCGCATGTCCATCATCGAGGACGGGCACGTGGCGGAGGTCCTGTACCTCATCCCGAAGCAGTACATGGAGCAGTTCCCCTTCGTCAACCCAAACGACTATTARCTCAGCGAGAGGCTGAACGATGCTTCTACAGGTGGGAACCTCGGTTCATTTCACAAATATTCAGCTAAAGTTTGTTGTGGTAGTCACTGAGAGTCCTCCACAACACATACTGATACTGTACCTTGTAATATTATATTAGGTTGTGCATTTCATTCCTCAATAAAGGATGATTATATTCTGAAACTTTGGTGTAAAGACGTGGATAATCTGCTTTCCTTCAAGAAATGATTTGCTCTAATACGATCTTTGTTCTTCTGCTTGAGCTGTTTGTTGCTGTCTGAACGGGAGCARAAATCAGAAATATTTAAATCAGATGACAGCGGAGTGATTAAACTTTAGGAGGATTTTCACATCATGTGTGAGAGCTTCTGTGCAGCTGTTACACAACCCTTCCCCCCAACCCCCAACTCCAGACAAGTCTTGACTGAAAACATCAGAAAAGTCTGGAAATTATTTACTGCTCTTTCTYRAGTTATGTAAAGCAAACCGAAAGGCCAGAACAGGAACCAACAGGGTGGCTTACAGCTGGATTACAAACATGAGCATGACGGCAAATTGAGATTTGACAGATTTGTCAGATTCTCTGTCTTCATGCCAGAAACAGCAGAATAATGTCTTGGCTCTCAGTTTTGCATAAATATCAGTCYTGATGTTTTTTCATCAATATTTTTGGCTACAAGGAAAGCTGGGTTTGCAAAACTGTGCCCAGGTTAAAGTTCAGAGCTAAAAAGTAGCTAAAATGAACGATCAAAAATGACCTTATCAAATAAAATACAGTGTAGATGGAAGCTGAAAGTGAAAAATTTAAGCTAAATTAAAAACAATGGTTACGCATTGTAACCCAAGCTTCTATTTCGTGTAAGCTCCGCCCTTAGAGGGCGAAATAGAACAGAAAAAACACGAAATAGAACAGAAAAAAGCTAAAAGCCAAAGTAGGAAAACACCAGCTAAAACCAGCAAAACATTAAGTAATGAACTGCTAACCGAAAAATAAAGTAGCAAAAGGCTACCTAAATTTATTAAAACAGTTAAGAAGAAAAGCATTAGCTAAAAGCAGCAAGGCACTAGCTAAAAGAACAAGTAGCAAAACACTAGCTAAAACAAATGAAAGGCTAAAAGTGACAATGGGTCAATTGCTAAAAGATAAAATTAGCAAAGAACTAGCTAAACATAGCAAAACAGTACATGAAGAAGAAGATTAGCTAAAAGAAGCAAGGCACTTGCTGAAAAACAAAAGTATCAAAACACTGGCTAAAAAAGAAAAAAGTCAAAAGCTAATGTAGCAAAAGGCTAGCTAAAAGTAACAAAATGCTAGCTAACATAGGAAAACAGAAGGATATTAGCTAAAAGAAGGAAGGTACTAGTTGAAAGACAAAAATATCAAAACACTAAAATAAGAAAACAAAATAGCTAAAGTAGCAATAGGTTTGATAGGAGGTAAAAGTAGCATAAAGCTAACTAAACATAGCAAAACAATAGTTAAGGAAGAAGAACATTGGCTAAAAGAAGCAATGCATTAGCTACAGTATAAGCCAAAAGTAGCAAGACACTAACTATAAGAGAAAAAAGTCAGCTAAAAGACAAAGTAGCAAAGGCTAGCTAAAKATAGCAAAACAYTAGTTATGGAAGAACATTAGTTAAAAGAATCATGGCTCTAGAGAAAGGCAGCAAAACACTAGCCAATAAAAGCAAATGGTTGGCTCAACATAACAAAAGGCTGTCTAAAAGTAACAAAAGGCTAGCTAAAATCTAAAGTAGGACAAGAATAGTTAAATATTTAAGTAGCAAAAGGCTAGCCATAAGTATAAAAAGTGTTGCTAGGAGGTAAATGTAACAGGTTGAATGAAAGCTAAAAGTAGCCAAAAAATGCAGCTGACAAACTGAAGCAGATTTAAAGTTTTTTAAAAGTCTTTGCGCCCATGTCCTGAATGAGCTGAATGTTTCATCTTATAGATGGCTAAACAAATGTATGGAAAGTTTAAAAAACACGTAACAACAGCGTGAACTCTGAATCTTGATCAACTTCACTAACGGGCTGTCAGACGAGCACATTGTGACCCGACTGAAGGAGCTTTTCATCCAAGAATAATCATCTCGGCTGCTCTTGGCAAACTCAGTGAGGTGTGAATGTCCTTAAAGAGGCCGAATGATAGCAGTAACTGGATATCTTTAGGTTGCTGTAGTAAAACTCCAACATGGAGGCGTTTATGCAGCTTCCTGAAGATTTGCACGCTCYTAAAACCTTTCTTTAGCTCAATATGGAAAAAGGGCGGAGTGCTGGAAAWTTTTCCTGMGTATTTTTTGTCTTGCCATTTGCTGCTGTGGCACGTCTCCATGGCCTGAGGAGAAAAATGTGATGCCTGGTGGAAACAGATGCACATCGACGGGCATCCAGAAGATGGTGCAGTTCTCACTACGGTGAACGAACGCACCCTGAATGCACAATGAGATGCTGCGTCAGCAAAAAAACCAAAAAATGGTGCTGCTGACAAACTGTTCCTCCTCTTCAGCCACAGAAATGTTCTTCTCCTCCTGCAGATGTTTGTTTTGCATTTTTCAAGCAGAGGCGTGAGTTTGTTCAGGAGTCTATAACAAACATCAGGTTTCTCATTTATAGGAACAGATCAGATGATCTGTGTTCAGAAATGTGCTCCTCTGAAACTGGATTTCACAGGATCCAGTGAAGAAATTTTAAAGCTCATAGCAGAGAGTTGGATCTGCTGCCTTACAGACAGGGTTCAGATACGTTTTTTATTTGAAGAWCCCATTGGTTAACTAAAGCTGTGAAATCGTAACTTTTAAAARTTTATTTGTAGCTTTACATAATCAGCCTCAGTARTTACTGGGAAAATATCTGGTATTTACCTACCTGGTAACTACTGACTACTTACAGGATACCACTTGGGACTGGGCTGCCTTATAAAGTGGTTTGTTACCCTGTATTTAACAGGTACATGATACTCAAGTGGTTATTACCCTAAGTACAGGGTGGCATGTCAATCTATAATACAAACTGGTCCCTACAGGTACTATATAGCAGTGTTTCCCAAAGTTGGGGTCGGGACCCAAAGTGGGGTCCCAAAACATCAAGGTGGGGTCCTGAAAAGATTTTCTGAATTAATMACATTTTTGCCTTAGTTGTTACAAAGGAGTGAGGTTGGTGTATTTAAAATGGATAAATGTAGTATAAATATATATTTACTATGCCCATGTTTAGTTGACCTGATACAAATGTTTATCATCCAAAAATAGCTGGGGCACAGGTCTCTGCTGCTGTTATTTTGTGGGTCAAAAGCTGAAAAGTTTGGGAACCAGTGCACTTTGGTTCCCAAAGTTGGGCTTGGGACCCAATTATGGGTCATGAAGCACCTTGGATAATCTCCAGAAATCAATTTAAAGGGTAATAAAATAATTGCTGATATAATATTTTCCCTATAATTTTTACAAAAACACAAAATAAGTAAAAATAAGTATTTATATTTGTGTACAAGCTGTTTAGCTTATCAAAAAGCCTGTGTTTTTAGGGTTATCAACGAAGCTCATGTACTCAGACCAGTAATATTTGGGGTCACAAGTTTTTGCCATGAATATTTTGTGGGTCAGAAGACAAAAAGTTTGGGAACCACTGCTATATATGTACTTTACGGAGGAACTTACAGGGTACTTTAAACATCCTAGAGATACCTCTATAACTAACCTCTATGTACTCAGTTAGGTATTTGTTCTGTTAGTACCAGGTTCAAACCCAGAGAGTAAAAGGCATTTACCCAATAAGTACCTTGTCTTTACCCTGTAAGTACAAAGCATGTACCTGGTAAGTACCTTGTCTGAACTCTGTAAGTACCTAGTAAGTACCCTGTAAGTTCCAGGTACAAACCTAGTAAGTACAAAGCATGTACCAGGTAAGTACTAGGTTAGTACCTGGTAAGTACTTGGTTTGAACCCTGTAGGTTCAGGTACAAACCTGGTAAGTACAACGCATGTACCTGGCAAGTACCTTGTCTGTACCCTGTAAGTAACACGTAAGTACCCTGTAAGTTCCTGGTACAAATCCATAAGTACAACGCATATGCCAGGTTAGTACCCGGTAAGTACTAGGTTTGAACCCTGTAGGTTCAGGTACAAACCTGGTAAGTACAACGCATGTACCTGGCAAGTACCTTGTCTGTACCCTGTAAGTAACAAGTAAGTACCCTGTAAGTTCCTGGTACAAATCCATAAGTACAACGCATATACCAGGTTAGTACCCGGTAAGTACTAGGTTTGTACCCTGTAGGTTTTAGGTACAAACCTGATAAGTACAAAGCAGATACTATTGTATGAACCTGATATCTATGGGTAAGTACTTTGRAAGTATCTAGTAAGTATCAGGCTGTATTTTGTTTTGCTGCATGTTTGTTTTACCTTTTTTTTTTTCTTGGATATCAAGTTTAAAAAACACATTTAGCTTGAAAATATAAAGTTTGACCCGTTTTTTAGCATCAGTTTGTGTTATTTTAAAGTTTAACTGTGAAAAATTACTAAATTAATATCCGGTCACTCATTTTTTATAGTTGTTATATTTCTTCAGTGTCCTGGTAATTTGTGGTCAGAGTAAGAAGCAGCAGCAGACACTTTGTTGCTGCAATGAGGACGAGGCTGACAGAGGCGAGGGGCTGAGAGAGGGACCAGGAGGGGCGGAGCAGTGAGGAAGAGGAGGAGGAGGAGGACAGGGATGGGAGGAAAGGAGGCAGTCGGCAGGCGAACCCCACGCTGTCGCTGTGTTTTCAGGAGCAGAGCTTTCAGCGCCTCTCTCTCTCTCTGATGTGTTCGRTCTCAGCTTTTTGATATTTCCAGTYTAAAAAGGTTCCRGTGTGTTCTGCCTCRCTCTGTGCAGCTCTAACCTGGATTCCAATGGTCATGGTTAAAGAGAAAGGTARGTGTGAATGTGTTGGTTTTATCTGGGTGTATTTGGCTCGTCATGCTGTGCACTGATCTGGATGTTCTCTTGCTTTCAAGTCCAGAGTCTGACTTATTTTGGATTCACGTCTG